AAAAAAATGCTCTCTCCAGCCAGACGTGGTGGCTCAAGCCTGTCATCCTAGCATTCTGGGAGGCCAAGGCAGGAGGATCACTTGAGGGTCAGGAGTTCGATACCAGCCTGAGCAAGAGTCAGACCCCCCCCCACCGCCCCCATCTCTGCTAAAAATATAAAAAATTAGCCAAACAACTAAAAATAGAAACAAAAAATGAGCCAGGCACAGTGGAGAGGAATGCCTATAGTCCCAGCTACTCGGGAGGCTGAGACAGGAGGATCGATCTTTTGAGCCCAGGAGTTTGAGGTTGCTGTGAGCTAGCCTGACGCCACAGCACTCTAGCCCGGGCAACAGAGCGAGACTCTGTCTCAAAAACAAACAAACAAAAAAGCTCTTTCAGTGATTCTTGTGTTCCTTATTTAGCTCCAGTCTACAGGTTAGTGTTTGGTAACTCAGATAAGGAAAGTGAGGCTCAGAACAGAGGGACTTCATTCATTCATTCCCTCCAATAGCTTCCCAATACACTAAGAATAAAATCCAAGCTCCTAACCATGGCCTATGTACAGTGCCTTGAGTCTGGCTCCTGCCTTCCTCTTCACTGCCTCCTCCCTTTTTTTTTTTTACCCCTCCAGCCACAGTGGCCATCGGATTTCTGTTTCTGAGCAAGCTAGATTGTTTCTACCTCAGGGCCTTTGCACATGCTGTACTTCCTTTTACAAACCTTCTCATTAGCAGGTCTTAGCAACTCAGAGACATCTTCCCTCACCATCCTAGCTAAGATTTCCCCCAACTCACCTCTTCATTGATCCTCTGTCATATTTACCCTGTTCTCTTTTCTTCCTGACATTGAGCACTATCAAACATTATCTATTTACCTTTTTATCTGTCCTCCCTCTACTAAAATGGAAGTAACATGAGAGAAGGGAGCTTGTCTGTTTCATTCTTTATCCTACCCTAGAATACTGCCCAACACACACAAGATACTTCATAAATATGCACTTGTGCGTTAATTAGCAGGTCGAATAGGAACCAAAACACCAGCTGGGCATGTTCCTACTTCATGCCAGGCACTGTGCCAGGCGCCAGCCAGGGTCACACTGCCAGTCAGTGGAGGAGGGGTGGGCAGGGAGTGGTGAAAACAAGAGTTTTTTCATTCCCAGATCAGACTGTGGGGGCTGGGGCAAAACATCTCTGGTCTTTGGTTCCCCAGGCAGCTTCCTCATTCCTGGTCAGGTCATGGAGTTTGCTAAACTCTAGCCTGTACCTTTCTCAGGAAGCAGGGGATGGACAGGCAAGGCTGTACACTGGGGTCCCCTTGCTTGGGCCCTCGGGTGCCCCTCAGTGCCTGTCACTGCAGAGCAGACCTAGAAATGATCAGAGAGGGGTCCTGACAGAGACCTGGTGCCTCCAGGGTAGCCTGAGCCAGAGCCTTCTGGGAAGCCCATGTTGTGGTTCTCCCCTCCCTGTCTTTCTGTCCCAACACTGGGAAAGAGATGCTCATTTGCATGCCAATTTACATCTCATCAATATATGTAACCGAAAGTCCATCTCATCAGCATACGTCACCGAGAGCCTTGACTAGGCAAAGAAATCCCTCAGGATGTTAAAACCAGAAAGGGCAGCAGGTCTTGATCCAGTTCAAGACCTCCCTTGAATAAGTGAGGAAACAAGCCCAGAACAGACCAGTGACTACTCCTCTATCTGCACCTAGATTTTTTAGCTTGCTTCTCTTCTCCTGCACGGTCCCCTCCCTGGGCTGACATGTGGAATTGTCAGCCCAAACAGGAAAAGAAAGTATCTGCTTTGGCCCAGCTCTGGGTGCCTCGAGCCTGGAAGCCTACTGACCCCTGACTGTGGTCTTGGCCCACAGTTAGGTCTGGAGGGACAAGAGTCTGGGATCCCTCTTGGAGGCTGACCGCTTGTTCATCATGCAAATTGTCCCATCTGTAAACTCAATCAACCCTGACTGAGGACTCTGCAGCTGACCCCAGTCTGCCCTCCTTAAGTCCCCATGGGTTTCCTGACACCTGGTTGGGGGTGGGGGTGGGGAGGATGGAGGGCATGGGAACCCGTCCTTATACAAGAGCAGTTCTGAGAAGTCATCCAAAACCTTCCTAGGCAGCTCCCCAGACAAAGATCCTCAGAGAGGCCAGGAAAGGGAACTGGTTGTGTGGTCTAGTAGTTAGTGTTCTTCTGCAAGAAGGACACAGGAGTGCAGGGATTCCGGCCTGGGTCAGGGCTTCCAATGTGCTGCATGGTTTTTGTTTTTGTTTTTGTTTTTGTTTTTGAGTCAGAGTCTTGCTCTGTGGCCTGGGCTAGAGTGCCGTGGTGTCACCCTAGTTCACAGCAACCTCCAACTCTTGGGCTCAAGTGATCCTCCTGCCTCAGCCTCCCAAGTAGCTCAGACTACAGGTGTACACCACCATGCCTGGCTAATTTTTTCTATATACTTTTAGTTGTCCAGCTAATTTCTTTCTATTTTTAGTAGAGACAGGGTCTCACTCTTGCTCAGGCTGGTCTTTAACTCCTGACCTTGAGTGATCCACCCACCTTGGCCTCCCAGAGTGCTGGGATTACAGGCGTGAGCCACCACGCCCGGCCGTGCTATATGTTTTTGCAAGGACCATTTCTCCTCCCTAGAAGTGAGTGTTATTCTCCATCTCTCTGATGAATACTAATAATAATAGTAATGGTGACAGCTGTCCCTTCTTAAGGACAGGCACTGGGCTGAATGCATTAATACATTGTCACATTTAACCCATGTAACCACTCCTGAAGGAAGGTGTAAAAATCAGAGGGGAAACTTGCCACAGGTCCTGCAGTTGGTAGGTGGCAGAGCTGGAAATTGAACTCAGGTCTTTGTGACTGCAAATTGTGTGTGCACACTGTGTGTGCAAAAGAGAACCCATGAGGAAGCACTTTGAGATGTGCAGAAGTTATGGAAAGAATGGAAAGGACTCCTGTCCATAGGGCGAGCATGCCTTTCGGTGCTAGGGCAACCAGCTGGTTTGCAAGCCACGTTCCATCTCATCCACGGGTTGGTCACTCAACATCTATACAGATTGAAATTATCCCCGGGGTAGCATTTTCAGCTAGTGGTATGGGGAGTAGGCTCTAGGGTCAGATTTCTGGGTTTGAATCTGGGCTCTGCACTAGCGTGGGGACTTTTGGGAAAGTGACATAACTTTCCAAACCTCAGCTTCCTCATTGTGTAGTGGGAAAAGTACTCATCTCACAGGCTGGGGGTGAGGAAGAAATGAGGCCACGCCAGTAGCATGCCTGGCCCAAAGTAAGGACACAAAGCATGTTAACTGTCATTGTCATTGACTCCCTTTAATCTGTCATTTCCCCATAAGCACTTGCTCATTTTTTTTTCCTTCCAACATTCTTACTATGCCAGGAGATTCCTGTGCCTCTTCTCACAGTTCGGTTAATTCGTGTTAGAAAAACAAAGTTTTGCACAAGGGGTAACAGGTTTAGCCTGGAGCTCTTAAGGACTCAGAGGACAGAGTGCACATAAACTGTCTTCAAGTCATGCAGCGTGTCAGGGGCAGAAAGAAGGAAAGGAAAGAGCTCCGCGTTAAACGTCAGGGAGGCCTGGGCTGATGCCCGGCTCTGCCATTTGGAGCTGTGTGACCTTAGACAAAGCACCTGGCCTCCCTGAGCTGCTCTTTCCACATCCATAAAATTGAAATTATAATACTTGTCTCTGAGGTGGGTGTGAGGATTCGTGAAACGTCGGAAGTGTCCAATCATGGTTAAGTGGCCTTGCCTCTCCTCCCTTGGTCTGGGGTCTGCATTTTCAATCCTAGAACAGCCGCACAATTTAAGAAGCTCTTCTACAATGCCACCCTCCTCATCTTTTGCTGGAAGCCCACTCCCGGCAGTCATGCCGGCCATCCCCCTGCCTCTGAGTGAGACCTCCTCTCTCTAACCCAGCCTACTCTGACTTCTCCCTGCTCTCCCCCGAATGTCAGGGAAACAGCCCCTGCCCCTCGTCCACCTCAGGTTCCCTACACTGTTTGGGAAGTTCTTCTGAAGCCCACATAGAGGCTTCGCACCCAACATGAAGTGTGAGCACAGGGCTTGGGGTTCTGGGGCATCTGAAGGAGACGCACCTGGGTGAGTCCCGAGAACAGGATGGAATCGCGCTGGCTGTCCGGCCATCTCCCAGCTCTGGGAGGGGGCACACACCAGGGTAGCATGGGGTCAGGGTTAAGTTTTGGGGACTGGGATGAGGCCTGGAGTGGGAGGATTTCTCAGCTAAGGGCTTGAAGAGCACCTGTCAGGATGGCTCCCATGGCGCCTCCTGGGGCTGGGCTTCTGGGCCCCCGGAGGGGCTGGGGAGTCCGGGCCAGTGCCCGCTCCACCTACCTGCACGTAGTTGTCCTCGCAGTAGTCGGCGACCCGCAGCAGGGCACTGTGGTTGCTCCGCAGAGCCTCCCGGCCTGTGGGGATGTCAAACTCCTGCAGCTGCTGCAGCTCCGCCATCACCCCCAGCCTCCGTCTGGCTCCCCGGGGAGCCCGCGGGTTTCGAGCCTCACCCTGCCCTTGATTGGTCGCTCTGCCTGCCCTCCCTCTCACTGCTTTTGGTTTCCTCTGCGTGAGAGACCCAAACCTGCCTGCAAAGGGCAGGCATGCTCATTCCGGGACAAGAGGAAGTCAGTCCCTGCTCCCTGGGCCTGCGCCTCTCTCTCCCCTGCCCAGAGGAAGGGGGAAGCCAGGGGCCTGTTTGGGGGCCCAGCCCCCAATCCCACCCAGCAGAGGAAGCCAAGGTCGGGGCAGCTGTGATTGCTCCCTGGTCCTGGAGAGGAAACTGGTGGGTGGGGGGATGGGGTGGGAGACTGGGGAGGAAGGGGGCTGGCCTGTTATGGGGGGTGGAGGTGGACTTTCCACTCATGGAAGGGGGGAGGGAAGGGCAGAGGGTGGGGGCTTCCTTGGGAAGCTCAGGGATGAGTCACCAAGGGACGAGGGAGTGGAGGGTGGATAGGATATGGAGGCCAGTCACTGCCGGGGACTGTGGGGTAGCAGCACAGCAGCAATGGAAAACGGCTGATGCATCAGCAAGAGGCAGGGTTGGACCCCAGGAAGACACAACCAGAGGTTCCCAGAGAAGTGTCACCAAGCCTGCGGAGGATCATATGCGATGAAGGTCTGCTCTACATGCCCTGTGCCTGATGGAGGCAGGACAAGATGAAATGGACCAAGTGTAATGTGAGGAACTCAGATTAGACAACAGGAAGGACTAGGATTTGAGAAGCACCAGGCTCAAATTCCAGATTAACTTGTCAGTTTTAGGAAGCAGCCGTGCACAGAGCACTGAGTCTGGCGCAGGAGGTAGGGGCTGTAGGTCACCCATTAACAGGGGGGTTGGGCTCGACGACCTCAAGGATCCTGTCCTGATCTCAGATTCTTAGAGCTCACAGTTTCAGTGGGACCCGGGTCCTGGAAGGGAAGTTAGGATGGACCAGGAGCTCCTTCCTACCCCTCCCGCCAACCAGTCTGTCATCCTAGAGGTGGGAGAATAAGAGGGAGAGGCGTGGTGGCAAAAAATTGTGCCTCCCCGATCAGACTGGGAGCTTCCTGGACTAGGATGGGGCAGGGGTGCAGGGAGAGGGTGAATGTACCATATTGGTCCCTCAGCTTCTGCTCATAGAGAGGGTCCTTTGTCATTGCACAAGTGTCAGCCAGAGCAGGAGCTCGGTGTCTGTTAGATGGCATAGCCCTTGGGTGGTCCTGGGAGGAGACCAAGAGAAAGACCAGCACGTGGGACCTGAGCTCAGGGACTGCAGATAAGGGAGACCCACACTCAGGGATCGGGGGAGGCGTGGTGGCAAGAAGCATGGACGCAGGCATTAGGGGTGGCCACAGCCCCCAGCGCCAACTGGTGTGGAATCATAAGCGAGGATACACTTGTATTTAATGAGTGAGTGAAGAGGGAGCTAGGAGAGCCTCGTAAGGTGAAATCGTGGGGAACCAATGAGGGACATAAAGCATCTTGGTTAGGGAAGCTAGGAGCTGGTCTAGGACTTGTCTCATTGGGAGGAACAGCCTCGGAGCAGGCTCAGAGGTGAAGGGCTGGGAGGGGAGGAGGAGGCAGGGGAAGGGCTGCAGGTGGGGTAGGGGGTGAGAAGTGGGGAATTTGGAACCCTGGGGACTTTATGCCAGGGCTGTCACTAACAGAGTGAGGTTGACACAGGGAGCGGGGTGGGGAGAACGTGGCCTAGAGGCAGCCAGATGGAAGGTGGCCTCTGTTTCCTGCTTTGTTTTTGTGGGGAGATGTCAGTGTCTCTCAGTGCCGGTGGCAGTGAGCACTTGGAGGCTCAGGCGGTGGACGGGCTTAGAACCGTGAGCCTGTGATCAGCTTAGGCAGCAGAGATTTTGGTTTCCAGACCATCTGCTTTATCCGAAGATTTTCAGCCGATGAGGAGCTAGGAGGCTCAAACACTGTCTTGTCTGGGTCCAGGCCGAGTGACTTGGAGAGCGTGCTCTTCCCTGGCAGGTGAGAGGGGCTGCAGTTGCCCGGGACTGGGATCTGGTCTTAGTGTTACTGAGGTTAGGCCCCAGGCAGGCCTTCCTGATAACTCTGCAGTGATAATAATGGCAATAGTTTTATTAGTAAAAATAATAATAAATGTATCCTGTTCATTATGTGCCAGGCAGTGTATTAAAATATTTTATGTGCATTATTTTCTTAGTACTCACAGTAATTATATGAGGTAGGTACGTACTATTATGATACCCATTTTGCAGAGGGGGAAACTAAGACTTAAGGAGGTTGAGCAACTTGCCTAAGGCCACACAGTGTGGCAGCAGCAGAGCTGGGATCAGAGTTGGAGTCTGGAAGGCCCCAGAACCCCTTCTCTTGGCCACTAGGGTACATTCTCCCCTGCCAGGACCTGGAGACAAAAGAGAAAACTTTTACCCAAGTCACTGTGTGGAACAACAACTTTGCTTCCTGAATCTTCCCCATTGCAAGAAATTCCTTTTTTCTTCCTTCTCTGCTTCCTCCTTCGACAGGTCCTTATCCAAAGGCAAAAATTTTGCCTCCCCCATCAGACTGGGGTCTTCCTGGGCTGGGAAGGGGCTGGGGTGCAGGGAGGGGCAGAGTTATGCTGAGTGATGAGGGGCCTGAATGGGAGGGATATGGCAAGGTGAGGACAGAAGTTCAGGTGTCGGGGTAGCGGGAAGGGCTGATGGGATTTGTGATCCCGGCTGCTGAATCCTTCCTGGGGCCGTGTCTGTCCAGGGCAGGATGGCCCAGGAGCTCAGCGAGAAGGACCTGCTGCGGATGGAGGTGGAGCAGCTGCAGAAGGAAGTGAAGAACTCAAGGGCCCCGGTGAGCCTCCTCGCCCCTCCCGGCTCATCCCTTCCTGTTCCCGGCGGAGCGGGGACACGAAGGAGGAAGTGATGCAAAGGGATGGCGGACCTTTCCAGAGCAGCAGAAGCAGCGAGAGGCGCCTCTGGGACGGGGTAGGATGTAGGAGGCTGGGCTTTGACCCCGAGAAGCGCCACCTTCCCTGAGCACAGGAGAGAACCTCAGGGCCCGGGAGAGCACAGCGTGTCCATGTCACGGATCCTGAGAAAGCTTCCGGGGCTGTAACCGTATCTTGTGTTCTCACAGATTTCCCAGACGGGAAAGGAAATCAAGGATTATGTGGAGGCCCAAGCAGGAAATGACCCTCTTCTCAAAGGCATCCCTGAGGACAAGAACCCCTTCAGGGAGAAAGGCACCTGCATGATAAGCTGATGGCGCCGGAGCCCTCACCCCGAATGTCTGTCCCTCCTCAGGCAGCACCAAGTATCCAAGGACTCCCAGGGAGCCAGCGAATTTTCCCCTTCTGTTTGTCACACAATGAGTAAAGATTCCTGAATGAAGGCGGCCTTGTGCATCTATTCCCCAATCCCACCTTCCACTCCTTTCTCCTCCGCTCTGGGTCCCTGCTGCCCCTGCTGGGAACACTCCAAGGAGAGCTCCGGCTGGCCGCCGAGCAGCTGGCACTATGGGTGGCAGGGTGTGGAGAGCCGTCCTTAGGAAGCACTTACTCCTCCTTAGAACCTCTCCATCTTTTCCCTTCACTCTCTTCCTAGGAAAAAGGCATTTCCCCACTACAATAGTTTGGGTTGGGGGCCCGGGGTCAAGGGGTCCTTATACCCCATCTCATGTCCTATCCTATGGCCCTCTTCCTAGCCATTTATATATATATATATATATATATTTTTTTTTTTTTTTTTTTTTTTTGAGACAGAGTCTCACTCTTGTTGCCCCAGCTAGAGTGCCGTAGCGTCAGCCTAGCTCACAGCAACCTCAAACTCCTGGGCTCAAGCGATCCTCCTGCCTCAGCCTCCCGAGTAGCTGGGACTACAGGCATGTGCCACCATGCCTGGCTAATTTTTTTATATATGTATGTTTTAGTTGTCCACCTGATTTCTTTCTATTTTTTTAGTAGAGACGGGATCTCGTTCTTGCTCATCTCGAACTCCCGAGCTCAAACAATCCACCCACCTCGGCCTCCCAGAGTGCTAGGATTACAGTTGTGAGCCACCTTGCCCGGCCTTCCTAGCCATTTAGATCCCCCAGATGACCCTATGACAAAAAGAGTGTGTGAAGTTATGATTTCATGATTTATTTAATATTGAAGAGTGTCTAATATGTGCTGGGCACCCAGGATGGAAGAGTGGGTAGGACTAACACCCATATTCCATTCCTGGTTTGAATGGGAACACCGATGAGGCTGGACTGGGGATGTCAAGAGGGAGGCCTGGATCCGTAGGGTCTGCTGTTAGAGAGCTGGGCTCAGATCTCGCTTGTTGAACTAAACAATCTTATCTGCTGGGAGTGACTGGGTAATGTTTTCGGTAAAGAAATTTGCTTTCGACAAGATCGAAAGAGGAAAGAGTGAATGTGGAGAGGGAGTTAAGGAGGTGCTTGTTAGTTCAGGGGAGAGGTAAGAAGGCCTGAATTAGGGCCATGGCTGTAAGTCTGAGGGTGGGGTGGGTTGAAGAGTTCTTTGAGAAATAAAGTTTTCAGTGCTTGATATTTCTTTGAGCGCTGGGTGAGGGACAGTGGGTTACCAAGGATGACATCCAAGTTTCCGGCTTGGGAGATTTACTAGAAGCGATTGAAAGCAAGTCTCTGAAAACAGACCTAATGTAACACAGCAATCCTACATACAGCTGCAAACTCAGCCTCCCTGCCCCAGCAGGCCGCAGCCCAGAGGCACATTAAGGACAAGGTCATGGGGCCACCGTGGTCAAAATCCAGGCTGTCCAGTTCCCAGTTCCATCCTGACTACATCTCACCATCCCACAACTTAGAGGAAATTCAACCACTCTCAATACGCTCCACTCAAGAGAAGGAAAAGAAGAGGAATGAGAAAGAGAAAACATTGAAAGACAATAATTCTTACTTCAGAAAATGGGGAAAGGTAGATATTCTAAACGGCCCTGGCGGTACGAAAGGAAAAGCAGGTGGGAGCTGCAGTCCTGGGGCTGTAGGCCACGCGGCTATGGCTTCCTTCTTCCACCACCCAGTCTTTGTTCTCCTGCCTTCGGGCAGAATCTCACTGGTTGGAGTTCCAGGTCCTCTATTCCTGACGAGTTTGAACCCTTGCTGGGACTCTGCATAGAGCCGCAGTTTCCTCTGTCCGCCTTGGCTGTGGCACTGTGCCTCACGTGTTCTCCAGCTCCTCCCGTATTTTTCCCGGGCACCCCAAGGTGAGGTACTAATCACAGGATCCCCTAAGTCTCAAGGTCAGTCATCCGCCCAACACCCTGACCCCCTTTTCTGTCTGTTTAAGGAGCCTCAAATAGCTGGGTAGAGATCTCAGCTTCCATTCAAAGGAAGTATTACATTGTGCCCCGGTGGCAGCATTGCTTTCATGCACACCCAAACCTTCCCGCTAGCAAGTTAGGAGGATGAGAATGATCATTGTGGGCGTGGATCATCAATGCCATCTGAGCCATCCCCACCGCTAGCCCACAGATCTTTGAGCTTTTTACCTGTGAAAGAAAAGCACTATAGGTTGCTCAGAGCACAGCCAGAAGCCAGTGGAGGGCACCTCATCTGTGCAAAGCAGTGTCTCCTAGCTGATTCCACCTTGGGTCTTTGTTTTTTCGGTTTTTTTTTTCTGAGACAGAGTCTCTCTCTGTCACACCAGGTAGAGTGCAGTGGTGTCATCATAGCTCACTGCAACCTCAAACTCCTGCATTCAAGGAATCCTCCTGCCTCAGCCTCCGGAGTAGCTGAGACTACATGAACACACGATGACCTCCCCGGCTAATTTTTCTATTTTTAGTAGAGACGGGATCTTGTTCTCGCTCAGGCTGGTCTCTAAATCCTAAGTTCAAGCAACCCTCCCACCTCGGCCTTCCAGAGTGCTAGAATTAAAGGCGTGAGCCACTGCACCCAGCCCCACCCTGGTCTTTACTAGGCCAGCCTGTCCCTCTGTAAAGCCACCTGCTTCTAGATGATGGACATATGGTGAGATCAGCAAATCCTGCTGACATTAGCCCCTGGCCTTACTTCTTCTCTTTTTTTCCCAGCAGTTTTATTGTGAAATGATTTAAGGGCTGGGCACAGCAGCTCATGCCTGTGATCCCATCATGCCTTGATCCCAGCACTTTGGGAGGCCTAGGCGGGAGGATTGCTTAAGGCCAGGAGTTCAACACCAGGCTGGGCAACATAGCAAGACCTCATCTCTACCAAAAAAAAAAAAGAAGAAAACTTACAGAAGAGTTGCAGAGATAGTACAGAGAGTTCCCATATACCCCTCACCCAGCTTTCTCTAATGTTAACATCTTACACAACCATGATACTTCTATGAAAATTAAGAAATTAACATTGGTACAATACTATTAACTAAACTCCAGACTTTATTTGGATTTCCCTAGCTTTTCCACTGATGTCAGTTTTCTGTTCAAGGATCCACATTACATTTTGCACCTTACTTCTTTTGCTGGGAAGAGCTTCTTGGTTGGAGATAGCCTGGTCTAGGATGCCATGACCATCTAGAAGACATTCCATGAGTCCATGGATGGTGGTATAGGCAGGGACATGACAGGGAATGCAGACACAATTCCTGATAAGTGCTTAGTCTAGTGAGGGCAACTCTGTGTCCCCACCACTGACCTGCCACCAGAGAACTGGCCGGTTGTCTTGAAGTCTGGTACTGCATGAGGAGCTCAGGGTTGTCATGGGTGCTGGCTCATTGGGCAGTGGTGGAGCTGCACTGACCTTGGTGAAGGGAAGTCCTCGCTGTTTCACCCATGAATAGCCTTGACTCCTGCTTCTCTGGCTGCTTTGCTGCATGGGCCCTCGTCAGCCCGGTGGTCACCCTATCTATGGGTTGTGAAGAACCTCTTTTGCAGGGGCCTTTCAGGTAAACATGTTCATGACATTTGACCATTTTCAGTGTCTAGGCTCACTCAAAGAGATCCAGCCACATAGCTCTCCCCAGATCTCCTTGTCTCCATCTTTCAATTATGCTGCATGACCATGATCGTTTGACCAGAGCCTTGCTTGCTTCCCAGGAATCAGGAAGGAATTCCCTTCTCTGCTGACTTTCAGGGCCATATTGAAAAAGGCAGTTCCCAGAGGAAGGGAAATCACTACAGTGCAGCCACCCCAGTGTGATCAGGGCCTCAATCGGGGAGGTGGAGGAAGAGTGGACAGGAGGCGGGGAATTGGAGAGATAGGAAGTAGAAATTTCCAGGACCTAGAGATTCATCAAGTGTTGGAGGGACAGACAGGAGGCCATCCAGGAGGCCCTCACGTTTCCTCCTTGGGTGACTGGGTAAATGGTGGTGTCGCCAGTTGGAAAGCCGTGCCCTCCAGGTGTCTACGTGACTCCCTAGGCTTCTGCTCCCTCCCCCGTGCCCTGTTGAGGGTCACCGAGAGGTGGTAGCTGCTATTACAAAAGTGAGCAAGACTGCTCAAGAGGGCTATGTGGATTGAGAGAAGAGGGCTGGGAATAGCCTTTGGAGCAACTCAGGCTGGGCGGGGGGAGGAGGGCAGACCAGAGCAAGCGCAGAGGGCCAGAGGTGACAGGGCGCCGAGCAGGAACTGAATGACTGAAATTCTCATGATCCAGAGCAGTAAAATGATGCCAAGGCAGGAGGAAGAGGGAGGGGATGCTCTTGAACTCCTTGATTTCCTGGTCAAATAACAAGGAGCTGAATCACTCTCAAGTTTCAAGTTCCATATCACCTTCCTTCCACACTCCGCCAGGGACTCCCAGGATGGGACTCCTGGGGAGGAGGA